AGATGGCAAGCTTCAATTATCTATCAGAAGAACTTATTATGGAGATATTGTCGTGGTTACCAGCAGACTCCTTGGTTCGATTCAAGTGCCTTAGTAAATCATGGCATTCACTTATCGGACACGATTGGTTTGTCACCAAACAACTTCACAACCATGTTCGTTCTGCCTCCGACGATGACCTTTGCATACTTCTCCGATACCGCATCTGTTCCGACCAACATGATCACGAGGAAGGTGAAAACGTTTTATCATTGCTTACATACAATGACAAGATGATGCTCTCTACTTCTAAAGAGGTGATTCTCCTTATATTGTCAAGCCTTTGACCTTTTCCTTATATAAGGATCACCAATATGCTGAAAGTTGGGGCAGTTGTGATGGCATTGTCTTCTTCTTCGACTCTTCCTATATGCGTGATACTATCGTTATAGCTAACCCCGTAATAGGAGAATACAGAATTCTTCCAGAGTCTTGCATTTGTCTTCCACTTCCTGCTCTATATCATGGTGATGATAATGAAGATTATTTAGCGCGTGTCGTGGATGCCGTGGGACTTGGCTATGATCTTAAATCTAATGATTATAAAATTCTAAGAGTGTGGGAGATAGAAAGTTATAACTATTCACGCCAACGATTTCCTCAAAGAGCTGAGGTATACACCTTCAGTACAAATTCTTGGAGAGAGATTAACAATTTTGCTATGGAAGTGGAGATTGACAACGTTGTTATGGAAGCTTGTTTTACTCCCATGCCTTCTTTTGATCGATATTGGAATGGAGCTTATTATTGGTTTGTTTTTTGTTATGAAAGAGCAGGAGACACCATTAGAAAGCATTTAATTGCTTTGTTTGACATGAGTGATGAGGTTGTCCGATATATAGGCTTGCCAAAATCATGTGAAGAACCAAATGATAATGCTACTATGTTCTATAGCCTTATAGAGTTGAACGGATCCCTTACTCTCTTTCATTATCCCTTTCAAGTTCAAGAGAAGCCATTTGATATTTGGGGGATGGATAAATTTGGGGTTAATGGGACTTGGACAAAGATATTATGTATTGGACCTCTTTTGGGTATCGAGACGCCACTACTATTTGGGAAGGATGATGAGCTTCTTATGGAAAATATTGAAGGTCAGTTGGTGTCCTACAATCTAAAAACAAAGCAACTCCAGAGACTACCTATATATGGAGAAACTAAATATTTACAACCCTTACTTTTCAAGCGAAGTCTAGTTTCAATTCACAAGGAAACGAAATGATCAATTAGAAGAGATTATTACAACAATTTAATTTTATATGTTGAACATTTAGAGATTCAAGTTCAATTCTTGTACATGACGATTTAATTTTTTGAAACGAACTTTCCTTTCTCTTGTGAGTTGTGGGATCCTGGGCAATGGTTCATCTTCATATTTAGTCCTTCTTGGAAAGATGTTCTTCAACATTATTTCTAATTTAACTTGTCCTTTACATATCGATAAAGAGATTTAGTGTATCCCTTGGTTAACCGAAGGGATTTGAGAAACAAATAGAATGCATATACTGTATAGCCTCCCAATAGAGACAACCAATAGAGGTTAAACCATCACCTATCTCGAGCTTTGGTTCTCGTAAACGGGATTACCTTTCCAACTGATCATTGTGCCATATTTCCCATGTTCAAACGTTAAAAATGAGCTTCTGATGCTAAAAATGGAGGAGGGAGCCTGCAGTACCAACTAATGCCCAGATCGAATGTACTCTTTGTTTTCACATATTTTTTTTTTGAGAAATTGTTTTCACATATTTTTAGGTAATACCTTTTTTATAGTATATAAATGAGAATTGATATATTTTTTTTCCTATATGCAATTCTTCTTAAATAATATCATTTATATATTATAAAAAAAAAAAAAAAAAAAAAGGCATTACCTAAAAATATATAATTCTTGTTAAGTAGTTTCATTTGAAGAGCTACCTCATGCTGCATGTTAGCCTATCTTGGCTGGAGGAGGGATTACAGATTAATTTGCAATCTTCTTTCAGATTATATGTTTTACCTTGTAGTGATGCAGCCCACCAAAATGGCTACTGTGTTGGACACTTGGAAGACCGTGTTTACAAAAACATCGAAAATGATTCATTTAGTAGTGCCTTGAAGTTTCTTCTCAAATGAAAAGACTGCCAGCAGAAAAATCCTTGACATGAAGAAACAAGAAGAAGAAGGAGATATTAGTGATGAGGAAATTGAAATTTCCTTGTTTTCTGCAGTTCAGCTTGCAAGCAGGTTCAAGCGGCAATACAACCATTACCCATGGAAGGTAATGAGCAAAATTTGGTTAGAATTAATGTGTTATGCTACCATTAATTGTAGGCCTAATGTCCACGCACAACAACCCAGTCAAGGTGGAGAACTTCTCACTTTGGTTTGGTTGTTGATGAATCATTTGGATCTGGGAACCGAAACTACACCACATTGATTCGTTGGATACTATCATCTCAGAAAAGAGAATCAGCATCAGCCGCATCAGAGGGCGATTCATTTAATTAATGGTTAAATTAGTAAATACTAATAGGTGTGATAAAGAAGAGGGTGTATCAATTATTTTGTTTATTCTATTGACCTCTTTACTTATGTACCATCTACCATCTCTTATTGTTTTTTAAATGACACCATCTTTTAACTTATCCTCTCATTTTAGTCTATATTATATTTACCATTTTAAACTATATCTATACTCACTTTCCCTTTCTATATTAATAAATTATCTGTTATATGCTTTCTTTCTATCTTTCCTTTTCTATTATTCTTCCTTAATCACCCCTTTCATTATTCCCAAAATAATTATATTTTTTTATTTTGAAAAAATAATTTGAATACCCTCTAATTTGAAACATCACCAACACCCAGCCAATTAACCTATTAAAATCTAATATACATGCAGCTGGTTCAACTAGTTTCTCTATGTTATATGGTTGGCTAAATCTTTAGGTTTTTTCGTTTTTAATTTTAGACTAAGAAATATTGAATTTTTATATTTATTTTTTTTATGATTGTGTTGTGGAGTATATTGAATGAAAAGGTATTTGTATCTATATCCTTTATTCTAAATTTGTTTTAAATTAATTTTTTTATTTTTTAAAGTAGAATATTTTTTTCACATTAACCCTTTGATTATTCATTTACTTTAATCATTTATTCTATCATAAAAGTTTATGTTTGATCTTTTATTTTTTTTAAAAATAATATAAATATATATAAATTGTCCCTAAATTTTTTCTTTTTAAAAAAAAATGGCCACTATTCTAAAACAGAGAGTAGGAATAAGTGGAAGACTAACTAGGAAAACCTAGGAACAATGGAAGGCTGACTTAATACTGTTGACAATATATTAGTATTTATTTCTTTCACCTCTTAAAAATTAGAAATTAGGAGGAAATTACTT